ACAAACTGTCACAAACTCCACAACTTAATTATACACAATTATTTATATTCTAATTCCACTTATTACTTACATGTAATCTGACTGCCAAAGAAAGTTAACTTAAGTCAATCCAAGAATTGGCGTGCCATAATGCTCAAGTTTGCCTAAAGCAAAATACTAAGCCGCATCGTTCTGGAGAGCATAAAATATTCCACGGATGAACATTCTCTACCGGAACAAGCTGGATTCAGGAGGAACAAGTCATGCATCGATCAAATCACAACACAACGGATCAGCATTGAAAAGACCTCCAACAGCATACATCAAGAGGTGATTTGGCAACTGCTTCGCTACTATGGGGTGCCGCTAACAATGCTGTACGCCAAGTAATCCTCAATGGGAAACTCATGGAATCCTCCGAAGTGAAGACGAGATTACGACAAGCTGGCTGCCTACTATCTTCAATGATTTTCCTGATTGTGGGCTGTAGATCGGATAATGAGACAGACAGCAGGCTGGTCAAGGAGGAAACTGGAGAAAATGCACCCGAACAAAACACTTGGAGTATCTGGACTTCGCCAATGATATATGTCTAATTTCTCACAAGCTGAAAGATATGCAAGTGAAAAGCAACGAGTTAGCATAAGAATCATCATAGACAGGACTTCAGGTGAACACAGAGAAACCAGAGATGAAGAAGATTCCTGGCCAACGGCAACAGAAACAACAGCAGAAAACAAACAACATAAATAAGAGGAATCTGAAAGAATCAATCTCCTTCAACTACCTACCTGGAAAACATAGTTTTAACTACAGGCGGATGGAGCTGATGAGAATATTAAAGCAGCGAGGATTATCGGGAAAGCAAGGCAAGTTTTCATTGCCCTCAATTCTGCGTGGAGGTCAACAGCACTCAACACAAGACTAGGTTTTTCAACTTTAATGTGAATCCAGTACTACCATAGAGATCAGAGACTTGGCGCGTCACGAATGGCACTTCAACAGCTGTCTTCACTCAATACTACTCAAGATCAGATAGTTGGCCGGGAAAGAACAGCGATAGGGAGGGATCTCTGGCAATGACCGAATCAACCCAGGCGGAATCATTTGTGCATTAAAAGTGCAGGAAGAAATGAAGGTGGATTGACCATGCTGTGAGAAAACCATCAAATGACATCACATGCCAGGCCATCGCACGAGTGGAACATTAATGGGAAGTGGCGAGTCGGTCGTCAGTCAGAGGAGGTAATGTGAGGAGGAGATGAAGGCATGTGGACAGATGTAGAGCTAAGTGAAAACGTTGGCAGAGAACCGAACGCAATGGAGACGTGTGCCTGAAGCCTTATGTTCCTCTAGGAACTAAAGAAGACAACAATAATATAATTCTAAGCTGATTTTAGGACTACAAAGAATAAGTAGTATCCATAGATTGCCTTTTTTTGAATAAATGCCTAAATTGGAAATAAATCTGCTTTGTATTATTCGGTTAAATAATAATATGAAAGATAACGCAGTTGAATAGGTTGCAGGACTTTATTTGCGTAAAACTGCCTTTAAATTTAGCCTATTCGACATTTGTCAAAATCTGCATTGACTGAATATCTAATGTCCTTGGTCATATATTTAACTTCATTGAGGTATTTAAATTTTAGATGTTAGGTATATTCTACTAAAATAAGTATGTGATCAGTGTGTATATCACTAAACACATAAGGAAACGGACATCCAACAATTATCTCCCTTATTTCAAAAATCTTCATGTTTCAACTAGATGAAAATGAGTGACATAAAGTGGAATTTTAGACACAAGTCTCACAAATTCTTTTTGAACAGCCGACGAGTCTTGTTTCAAGACAACACCATGACAATATTTCACTTCAAAGTACTGTAGAGTTATATTAATGAACTCACTGACCTCATTGCATACTTTAATTTATACACCTTAATCAATACACACAAGATCAGAAACCTACAAATTTTAGTTTCTAAATACCGATATCTTTGTGTAGGGTTTATTGACAGGAGTTTTATAAAAAGAGTTATCGGGTTTTTAATCAGTAAATTGATTGAAAAATGTTTTTACTCAGCCGTAAAATGTACATTTGAATCCGTCTGATATCCAACTTTATGTAATATATACAGATGCTGAAATAATGTAATCGTCTTTTGTATTTGGAAATCATGGGTTAGTCATAAATAAGTTGCTCTGCTATATATTTTTTCTAAAAACGCATTCATTAATTATTAAGGTGCCCTTATTTCGAATCCTGCCGTACCGGACATAAACTCGACATAAAAATATTGATTTTTATGTTGAGTTCAATCATCGCTCATTCCATCAGTGATGGTGTGCCAACTCAAAGTGGTCTCAGATAGCCTTTTCATCACTGATAACAGTTCTTCTGAAAATACGATACCTAGTTAACTAATAAAAACCGTTTCTCATGTATCTGGCATAAAAACTCACCAGAGTAATCATTAATAAATTATTTTATAATGAAAATTATCTGTAAAAGCAGTTAATACTACGTCTGGCTATTAAAAATTCATGATTATGCGCTCTGAATATTCTTGAAAGAGGCTAAATAATGAATTGATTTTGTTATGTAGAAGAGATGACACTAGGCTCAGGATAATCTATCCCTGGGATTTAACATTAGGAGTTTCTACGTTTGAAAATACTGTCTCTTTCATAACTTGTGGAGAAAATTAACATAGAAGGCAATTAAGACTAACTCTTGGCAAGAACTGATGTCTAATACAGAACTGGTTAAAGTGAAGAGGCACAGAACAGCTGTTTGGTTCTTGTGGGGTATGGCAATTTAGGTGCATGGGCTTATTAGCCACTGACACCAGAGCATAAAAATCGCATCTTGTCATTAACTGGAAAATAATTCAGGTTTATGAAAATACCCATTGATTCATGAAGAAAATAAAAAACCAGTCAGCGAGGAAAATTTTCCTTATGGAAGAAATCATCTTCGGAGGCTGTACAGTCGTATTTCCATTTACCGAAAATGTATCTTAGTCAATTATTGATAAATAGAAAGGGATGACACAGTTACCCAGAAATAGCTTCGAAAGTAAGAGTTTTAAATTACGCAATACTCAACAGCACAAAAGAAGAAAGGGTTAGAAATTTGACAAGGTTGAAATTGTTATTGAGTGAGAATAAAAGTAGTGGAGTGTCCACTTACAGAATGTGAAAAGAGTGAGAAAATGTACAAAGGGAACACATGAGAGTGATAATAATGAAATATTAATTAAAGTGAAGGCAAACTGATCAACAATAATAAAGACAAAAATTACAGGTAAAGAATAATATGGAGGTTGGATCTCAGGGTTTGTGTGTGTCGGAGGGTTCGGCAATTCGTCAAAATAACCTCGAACACAGAAGGTTTGTCCAGTCCCTTATTCTACCATGGTCTTAACCTTCACATCAGCCGTCTCCTGTATATTCCTAATTTTAATGGTTACTTTGCTTTTACTTTAATAATTAATTCTCCATTATCACACATATATGTTCCCTTTTGTCCGTTTTCTCACCCTATGCACGCTTGTTAAATGGACACTCAACTATCTTTCTCCTTATTCATTAAAAGTCTTAGCCTTATCAAACTATTAACTCTTTCTTCCTTTGTACCGTTAGGTATTACATAATTTACAACTTTTATTTTTACTATTTAAGCCACTTCTGAGCAAGTACATAATTGTGTCATCCCTTCTGTCACTCACTAATAAACTACTATACATTTTTGGTAAATATAAATACGACTGTACAGCCTTCGAAAACTTTCTCTGCTGAAATGTCTTTTATTTGAGGTTAATTCAAAAAGCAGGTTTCATCTGCACGGTTGAAATATTTCTCAGATTATGTTTATTGTACATATCTGAAGAACCAAAGTTTAGAAGAAAATCGGTGTAAAACTGTGCTTGGTGTCCAGTGGTTCTCTGATCCACAGACCATTCACCCAAGTGGAATGTTCTGTAATCACTTCAGTTGATCTTCTTGAAAGCATTTGAGAAGGTTTTCGATTTGATCTACTAGTTTTAAACATTGATTTCGGAACACCATAATGATAACAATAATAACTATTTTCTGAGTGAAATATTTCTGTGGTTTAAAAAAATTCAAGGGTGTATCATGAAATATGTGTTAAAATGAGGAGAAGTTTATCACCAGACACATCAGTGAAGTGTCAGAGAGAATTAAATTGAATTCAGAAAAAAATTATCTAAATGACAGAATCAACATTTCATAACTCAGTGATGATATGCTAAGTGTGAGAATCATTCAGAAATAAACAGTATTTGTTACTTTTCAAAAATATTTTCAATTAGTTGGTGATGAAATTTATTTAAACGTTATTCTAAAACTTGGATTCTGCCTTATTTGGCTTCAAGAATATGTTTCAACATCTGTCAACGTGTGCTGAATGATTCGCTTTCATAGTGGTGAGCTATAAAACATGTAAAGCATATAGACTTTACAAAGTTTAGTTTATTCCTAATATTTAAGTATTGGATCATTGAAAAGAGGGAAGTATTTGACTAGAATAACACTTGAAAATCAATATATTGCTTGCCCTTGACTGACCAAGAGATGAAATATCCTACAGTTCCAGTCAGGAATCGTGACCAGTAAGGTCCTCTTAGTCAGATACTAGGACACAGACCAGCCGATGACATCTCCTGGCAAGGAACCTATATCTCACGAAGTAGGCGGAAGTTAGAATTGGTTTTCATCTCACTGGCTGATAAGTAGACGAGACCGCCTCTTGGCCCGAAGGTATTGAGTTGAACCCACAGTACGTCGGTTGCTGCATGATGCTAAAGAGTCCTGAACCACGACGAAACAGTTATCCAAGACTCTCCCGTCGTCTAAATGATTTCACTTCGTCATCTAACTCGTGATTATTTAAAACTACATTGATTTGCTTTTCATTCCTTTTACTTATTGGATTAGAATACGTCAATAATAATGATAATATTAATTCAACTTTATCTTTTTATGATTCCAGTGCGCTACAAGCTCATGTCATCGTCAAAATTCAGCAAATCATGAATGGGTGGAACACTTTTGTCAGTTAATAAAAAAAGCTGCACGATTTCCGTGTTATGTGCATGAAGATCATATTAAAGAAGCACTACTGCACAAATTCTATGGACCGTCAACAATGTTCAATACTTTATTTTGGCCTTTATTCTTATTATGTTTGTCTAGTTTGTGTTTACTCATCACATGGTCTTTTGATAGATGTCATGTATGGCATGATGAGAAGACAATAATAGCATAATATTTAGTGCAAATATTTTTGATTGTTATGCATTATTATGTAATCAACACATACACATGGCACTACGGGGACTGCGATGGTCAGGTAAAATGTACGGAGAAACTCGTCGATGAAAGAAACCAAGTTGTAGCCTATAAGAAGTACTGACGTTTTCCATTTGTACTGGCTTTACGAAAAATTCATATCATAGATGTTTTATTTTATAAACTTTCAAAGAATAAATTTTTAACAGCTTGTGTTTAACTACTTAACTTTTTTGTAAAGTAGAAAGGTAATTAAGACACTGAAGGAAATGCACAATTGTATACATCACTGCTGACGTCTCACTAAAATCTCTGTTTTAGACCACACTTATGAAGATTCATTATTCGTGATATCTGATACTATAATCACCGTAGACTGAATGCAACAGCAATCCACTACAAAGATGATCACTTTGTCATCCAACAGCTTGGATTCAATGGGATTCCTCATGATTTTTTACCTTTTTTATTATCCCACTTACTATCAGAGTTCCAAGGCAGAAGTGAATGGCTTCATATAGCTTCACACTGTATGCCTTCATGACTGAAGCGAACTTAGAAATCATTGGAAATATAAAAGTCACAGTCACTGGACAGGTGAAATAGTTTGTCCTAATGTCATATTACTGTAGATGAAGTGCAAACCACTACGATTATAATACAAAGTCCACTGATAAGTATACTATACTGACATAATCTCCAGTCATAACCTCAGTAGGTACAGCAGCAGAGAAGGTACATACATTTATCTTAATTGTATATTGACGGTGAAAGTAATTCTCCAACTAGTTTATTAAAATTGTTGAAAAGTATTTTAGAACGGTAGCTAGTCAAATGCCCTTTTAGCATGAAATGGTTGCTACATTCATAGCTGTTCTTTGATTGGACACTAGTAACTAGTGTAACTAGTAAGTCAGAAGGGACATGAGTTCCTTCAAGGTGACTGCAGATATGCCATGCTGACTGGTGAATGCTAACTAGCACGAAACCTAGGTCAGGCAAGGCTTCCTGTGGCCGATTGCCTCCAACCATCTAATACAACTGTTCTTATTTGTTGTCACTCTATCTTCACTACATTCTGAAATCCGAATGCAGAATATGAAACTAAAATAATCCCTGGACACGGAGAAAAAAACCCACGGATTTTAGAATTATTTAATTTCGTTAATCCTCTTTAAGATGTTTGACACTGATAAAGGTATGAAAAAAGAGAAAGCCCATCTCATAATCAGTATTTTATAACATGAACACAAGGATAGGATTATCAGTTTTAATTATATCAAATATTCAGAAAAAGGACTTTTTGTTTTGTTTTCTTTTGCTTGTTTTGGATTATCCTGTCTTATCGAGAAGTGACTTATCTCACCTACAGTATGTAAAAAGGTCGTTTTATGTCAGTCAGTATTATTCATTTCTTTGAAAAGAAGTATATAATAAGAGATACTTCTTGATTTTGAATTCTTTGCAGTAATATGTAGACCATTATGAGCAAATATGCATAACAATGCATAAAATGTAATGAATGCAAAAAAAGTGAACGCAGAATGACTAAAGTGTTTATAATATTCCTGGTCATATGGCATTTGAATGTCATAATTCCTGATACCGGGAAAGAAGCATTTACCAAAGTGATAAAATTTTCAAGAAATGTTATACAGAGATTTGATTAATTCTAAAACTGATCACGCAATATGCATCGAGAAGCCGGAGCTTTGTGTTCAAAAGAAATTAGTCCAACCTCTATAACTACCATGGACCTAGTTCGGTATGTTCCCTTTGCTTCCGTTTTTTTTCTCTTTCTCTTCTTCGTCTTTTTTCGTTCTTGCTTTTCCTTTTGAGCATTTTTTCGTTCACTGTGCGTCTGATCCTTAGTTCCTCAGTCTTCATTAGATCCACCTAATATTTTTTCAGTTATAAAAAACTGTTATTTTAAGTTTGTTTCCATGCTTTTCCTGTTCACATTTATAATTCGTTTGAAATAACTATTTTACAGTTGTATCTTAATCCTTTGCGATTTTTGTATTTCTAAGGCTTTTGTAATCCATATTCACACCTCCTAACTTTCATTTAAAGCTCAAATTATTATTTCAAATTTTCAGTTATAAAACTAGTTATTTTAATTTTGTTTGCACGCTCCTCCTGATCACACTTGTAGTCCGTTTAGAATAACCATTTTACAATTATATTCTAATCCTGTGTAATTTTTTGTTTCTATGCGCCTTGTAATCTTTATTCACACATGCTAACTAACATTTCAAGTTGAAAATTTTTATTTCAATTTGTTTCCCTGCTCATTTTGTTCACACATGTACTTGGTTCTATCCCTGCGTTTCTAAGTCTCTTGAGATTCATATCAAGCTGAAAACAAATATCACCTTCTATTTGACTTAAAATTATTTCTCCAGTTGTCAAATAATTTTTGCATACGTTGTAACTATTTTCTAATCCTATGAAATCTTGTCTCTAGGCCCCTTGTAATCTATATTCGTACCTTCAAACTTTCGTATCAAGTTGAAAATTATGATCACGAAATGACATTATTTAGAGAACTAATGAAACCAAGGAACTACTTGATAGCTGTGTCGTCCAAGGTGGGCTCACTTTGAAACCAAAAGTCCCTGAGTTCGCTCCTGAGTGTGATTATGCGCGAACCCAGCTGAACTATCCTAAAATAAGAAGAAAATAGCGGTCCAGTAGACCCTAGTTTCTAATGGTTCTCTAGATCATGTCGTCTAGCCGTCAATCTTGAAAGCGAGAAACGTTTTAAGAGATTTTCAAAGACAGTTTATGAACGAGTTCAAGAGAAAACATTTAGATCACTAACTAATTTATTATTAAGTTTCCGGATTTTTAATTAAAAACTGATGTTTCTCATGATCAATGATTAGCTGAAGTTCAGAGCTCTAGTTTAATGAAGTGTAGAAAGTCGACTGACTGAAAACGCTTAAAACAAGTGGTTACATGATAATTAACAAGCAATTACAATTTTCAGTTATCAAAAAGGTGGAAACAAAAACACTGATGTCTGTTTTAGCTGGAGACCATCTGAAATTCAAACAATTGTAATATGCATAAGGCATAACACTTTAAATCCATGCATTGAGACTATATTTCATGATGTATTGAGAATTCCTTAGTCCAAAGCATTAGTGAAATCAGTACCATAAATATGAAATGAAACCTACTCAGTATATTGAGAAGAATACTTTGATTTCAAGAATTTCATTAATCCTACTGTTCTTATGAGAAATCGTGAAAATTGGAGTAGAGTAGGTCAGTCTCGAGGACAATAACTTGCTAAAATCACGAATTGTTGGAAGTTGAAATTCATGGGCTGGCCATTGGATCACGTCGCAGTGGCTGAATGGTCTATGAGCACATTTTGTAACTAGGAGGTCCTGCGTTTAAGCCCGGCGGGTGCGTACTACTGAAGACTCGGAAAATGGGACGAAACAGCTGTCCAGTACTCTCAGATTTTCCATTGGTTTTTAACCGATGTCAACTTATGATGAAATCCTATCACTGGCATCATAATGTTTGCCTTAGGACAGAAAAAGAGAGAGAGAGAACGCTAAAGCTCACTAGCATAATAAATTGAAATTTATCACGAAAATTATTTGGTTAACCAAAATTATTTACAGGCTCCTAGTTTTGTACTGATTATATATGTTATCAGAGTAAATCCCGTTAATATATAGGCCATTTTAGTCATATATGCACTAGATTCGATAAACTATAATTAATAAAGTAACAGGATAATAATTTGAAAAGTTTGTCTTCAACAATCTAATTACGAAAATTGTTTTTAGTTGGACGTCTCAACTAATGTTTAGTTACTTTTCATTTTCTCCTGGAGTGTATATCATTATCTCGACATTCGCATATTATATGTCGAGTTGATCTTTATCGTTTGCTCTTGTTCCTGTTCAGTCACAACACGCTGATAATGCGTTATGGGTTGTGGTTACTTTTTGAGTGAATCGAGATAATATTGACGTTGGACTGCCTGCAGGATACGTTAATGTGGGATTCTTGCTGATAGAGGTTTTCATCCTACCCTGTTGAGTACATTCTTCTTGACTCTAATATACTCCTTATAGTAGGATTTTAGTTGCCTAATTCTGTTCCACAGTGCCTATGTACTTTGAAAATTAGGTGGGCTGTACAGCTGCCAAGTTTCACTGTTGAGTTAATTTTGAGTTTTGATGATAGTATAATTAGAACAGAACCACAAAGCGTTTTGTGACTGTGTGTTTCTCAAAGAAGTTTAAGCATGTGCCTAGTATGATTCAGAGGTCGATATTTCGCTATTAGACAACAACGAGTCGATGCTGGTTTCAACAACAATAACTGTTATTCGTCCCTTGCATTCCGAGCGCAACATCGGACTTCAGCAGCACATTTTTGTTGCATTCTTTTCTTCGATATCAATTTTATCTGACTCCATTATTGCCCTTAAGGTTTTGCATGATAATCTACATGTCATCCTCAGACATTAACTAATTTCTTTCCATTCTGATTCAACTGGAAGGTCTGAAGTGTGACGTCACCTAAAGGTTGTATCCAAAGTGTCCTTATTTTCTACTGCATATTTGCTGATTTACAGGTTGTCGAACGGCTCATTACACTACTTTTCACTTCTTCTTTCTGGCTGCCCATCTGATCTCCATTATCGAGAGAAGGCATCAAGCGATAAGAGTCGGCCACCTGTTCCAAACATTTTCAAGGATGAAAAGACTGTATAACTAAATTAATTTATTAATGCCTTTCAGGCATGTAAAACATATGCTATAAAGGCATTATGTATTCATCAAGAAACCAGCGATGCAAATCGGACTGTTTACATTTACCTAACACTTCTTATCAATATGAATATTACATAGTTTTCAGTTCACTGTAAAAACAGCTCTCCATTATGCTGCATTAGTTACAGTTTGCTTTTCTCTTACTGAGACGTTCAGAGAAACTGTTCTCTCT